GGATTTCTATGTGTTTGGGTGGACTATACCAGCATATGTACATATATACTAACGTCTCAATTTTGTAGAAAGGAGAAATAAAATCATAACAAGATAAGCCGGGATGTCTCCTAACAGCAGCCACCGCATGAACGCAAATAAATTGATCCAATTAGAATTCACAACATGTCCATGTTTTGTCCTTTAAACTCATATGGACATGTTGACTTTAAATGCATAACAAAAAAATAAAAATATGCAATGGTTAATATGCAATTAAAAAAATTCATGATAGTCCAACAAAGTATGTAATGTGGATATTACCAGTGTCATAATTTGTAATGTGGTGATAAATATTACGAACCATTGTAATGTAAAGTGTCACAGTATGTAATGTGGTAATGTGTATTACAAAGAGTTGTAATGTAGACGGGGCAGATTGTGAATTGTGACACGGAAAGGAAAAAGAGGGCAAAATCGGGAGAGAAAGAAAGAATGTGGCGGGAGAGGTCCTATTTGGGGGATAAAAAACATGAACTCCTATTTTAGGGATAATCACAATGTTTTAGTCCTATTAGGGGTGATTTCTAATAAATTTACACCTTAACATGATTATTACCTTTTATGGACAAATATTATTTTTAGTTGAATGAAAATTTTTTTATATCACTTCCAAATTTAAAAAATATTCGGTATCAAAAAAGAAGTTTATATAAATAAGATTTTTTATATTTTGTTTTGTTTTTAGAAATATATTAGGCGTAAAGGAAACAAAATCAAGTAATTAATCCGTCCCTTCCTTTTTTATCACAATCCGTCCCTTCCTTTTTGATGACAATCAAGTAATTAGGCAAAATCAAGTAATTAATATGTCCCTTCCTTTTTTATCATGGCCATTTAATTAGTCGAAATTGGTTAGGAAACAAATTAGTCCGTTCCTTTTTTATCACAATTAAGTAATTATGCGATCATAGCCGTAGATCTTGTTTGTTTCTTGATATCGACGGTGCAGGAAGTGAGTGCATTGGGCGGGAAAATAATTCCCCTGCTTTTAATAATAGAGTGATACTCCGTAATAAATAGATATGAAGTCTTAGATATGTTAATAATTAATATGGTCAACTTTTTTTTTTTAAAGTATTTTTTGACACAAATAAAAGGTAAAATTAGAAAGTTTTTAAAGCTCAAAGAGAATAATAGACAAAGTATATTCAAGTATTAGGTATTATACTCATATCATTTAAGAAGATTTTATATGTTACTCGTACGAGCTAACGGTACACATGCATCCAATGGAGAAAAAACTTTGTACAAGTCGCCAATAGAATCGTGTCGATCAAAACATGTTACAAAATCAGATATAAAAGTACTAGTAGCAGTGTTATTATCCGCTAATTGCCAAGCACAACCCCTCCCTCAATGAATTTTTATGGGCCCAAACTTTCTGGCACCCTTTAAATAGTCCGCGGCCTGTTACTTTCCGGCCCATAAACCAGACCTCTCTCCCTTGAAAAAGGCGGCCATTTCCTCCGCCTCTTCATCTTCTCAAAGTCTCTGCCAGAGTGAGAGGGAGAAGAAAAAAAAAAGAAAATTACTCAGCCATGGAGCCGTGGCTAGACGACTTGGCCGACGACCTCCAGAGCATAAGCTTCAACTCCGCCACGACAACTACCGCCACCGAAATCAACCGCTCCACCAGCTCCGGCTCCGAGGCCACCTGGACGGCGGCTTCCTCCGGCTCCTCCCATTTCATCCCTCCCTCCTCCGCCGCCAAGCCTCACTCCTCCATTCCCTCCGGCGATCCCTGCTGGGACGCCATCAGCCGAGCCCGATCGTCCTCCTCCTCCGGCACTCTCTCCGGCGCTGACCTCCGCTTCATCCACCGCCTCGGCTCCGGCGACATCGGCTCCGTCTATCTCGCCGAGATGAAATCTCCGCCTCCGCCGGGAACCGATCCTCCGCAATCTCCGTCTCCGTTGCAACAGCCGGCTCTCTTCGCCGCCAAAGTAATGGACAAAAAGGACCTCGCGGGCCGTAATAAGGAAGGGCGAGCGAGGACAGAACAGGAAATTCTGGAGATGCTGGATCATCCTTTCCTCCCCACTCTCTACGCGACTATCGATTCCCCTAAATGGTCGTGTCTACTAACCGAATTCTGCCCCGGCGGCGACCTCCACGTCCTCCGCCAACGTCAGCCCGCCAGACGCTTCCCGGAATCCTCTGTCCGGTAACTCTCTCTCTCTCTACACATGCTTAAATTGATCAGAATTTGTATATACGCCGCATTAATTTTACCAATAAACAATTAAAAACTCGAAAATCCAACGAACAAATGAGCTAATCAAATCAGAAATCTCAACAACCTTCAATTCGAAGGATATGGCGATTTGAATTTCACATTTAAATTAGTGGTGATGGAACATGGGGTCGTGAGAGCGACGTGGGGTTGAACTAACGTCGGGGGCCACCACCTGACGGTGTGGAGCTGGTGTTGGTCAGTCGGTGGGGCCCACTCCCATAACTGCTCCTGTAGAACGGATCTAAGGCTTACCGGCAGCGCAGCCGGCGGTTAACCGTCGGTCCGGCCTTTTTTCCGGCGGGATAGTTATTAGGAGTCGGCGGAGAGGTTTAATTAGGGTCGTTTTCCACCGGTTGCCACAATGACGTCACTCTTTTATTTCGCTTTGAGTTCGAAGTCAGAGGTGTTGGAACCAATTGGAGATCGACACGTTACTGCCGTGCTGATTTGGAACTTGGTTTAATATTACCGGAGCAATTAGTACCCCTAACCTTTTTTTCGTTAGGATTACTCCGTAACATTTTAGGTTATTTAAGTTAATAATTTATTAGTCAAGCTAATAATTTGGTTATGGAGTAGAGTTAATTGAGCGGCTGTTGAGTTAGTAATCTTTTGCGCTTGAGTTAATAATAATAATCTTTACCTCACTTTGTGGTATACATTGAAAATTTTGTGACTCCTTTATATCCCTGGCAAATTTCAATGTTACATTTTCTTTTTCATTTCATTTTTTCTTAATTTTTTCACATTACACTTTTTTTCATTCAATGTTTTGTGATATACAGATATAGTACAATCCAAAGTTAGATCGAGTAGTACCGAAGTTTATATAATTCCTCGGCCCACAAATTATGTTTGGAGTATTATTTTGTGAATATTATAAATTATAGTATAATCTTCTTTACTATTGTTCACAACATTTTTTTTCTTATAAACAAAACAAGAATACGGGTGGGGCACCAAGATCCTGACCATAGTTATCACGGCGTCGCCTAGGCGTCGCGGCGCCCTCTTGATCTCGCCTTGATGATTCGACTCACCTTACTTTCAAGTCCTCGCCTAGGCGTCGCTTTTCTGACGACTTGGCGTCCAGGCGCAGCGCCTATGTCGACTTACGCCGTCGAATTCCAGATCTGAAAGGGGAAGAAGACCCTACGATCGCTAAATCCTTTCGGATCAGATGCGAGAGCGCCGAGAATTAAGATGCGACCCAACCCGACCCTTCAATTTTACGGAATTCCCAGCGACTACCGACTTGTATTCCCGACTTTGGACTTTTGACTTTTCAGATTCTAAGTACCCGGCCAGTAGCACTTCCTATTTTCCTTTAAAATTAACCCTATATGTATATTTGCTTTAATTAGAAGATGTCTTCTATTAGTGTTTTCATTTTTTATTTTCTATTTTTGAAAAAAACATATAATATAATATAATATAATATAAGAATGTACACAAAGGAATATATATATATATATAATTTGTCGCCTAATTGTCGCCTAGGCGTCTAGGCGTCATGGCGATCCATTGGCGCCGCGCCTCGCCTTGGCGCCGTGATAACTATGATCCTGACATCATTTTGATCTCAAGTCTTAAACGGACACACACAGATAATAAAAGTTTGTGCACGTACAAATATTTACTATCTCTATGTGTCTGTGTAATACAACAACAACAACCCAGGTGAATTCCACAACAGTAGAGTCTGGGGAAGGTGTGTGTACGCAGACCTTACCCCTCCCTATGTGTCTGTGTAATATTTGGACCAAAATAGTATCACCGTCTTGGTGTGTTCCTGCTACAACCATAAACATATTCCACCCAATTTATTTTATAGTATTTAGGATGTCTTATGACCCATTTGATAATAGATTCAATGTTTTCGTCGGTTCCAAAGCCGATGTCATTGTGTTCTACCATGTATCATAAATTGTACTCTCTCTCTTTAGGAAAACAATTCCTATATTGACTTTGGAAAAAATAAAGAAGGGTTATTTGGAGTTAAATTTCCAATTTTGCCCTTGATTTGATGAGTAAAATAAGATGTGGTAGATAAATTATTAGCGAAAAAGTATGATGTGATAGGTAGGTAAGACTTTGTAGGGGTGAAAGTAATTTTTTAATAAAAAGTAAAAATATCTCAGATAAAGAGAAAAAAATGAATTTGGTGAGTACAAATAAACACAAATTTTCGTGATTTTTGAATTGTGAATTGTGGTATTCTTTTTTTACTAAGAAGTACTCCCTCCGTCCCGGAGTATTCGTCCAGTTTTGACTTTTGGAACTGTTCATCTAAACACTTTGACTCATCAAATTCTCTCAATGTGTAAGCCTAAATATAGTCGTGTGTGATCTTGTTTGATTTGTTTTAACATATAGATTATTAATATATAATTTCTATAATTTTTTAATATACAAATTACAAGATAAAATGGATTAAAGAAGTGTATTGGATGGTGTGTAAAAATAAAAGTAGACAAATATTTAAGATTGCACTAATTAGAATCGTGTTCCAAATAAGGCTTCAAAATTTATCAAAATTTTCCAAAATCAAACAAGGGTTCTCAACTCTCATGAATTTTCCTAAAAAAAGAAAAACTCTCGCGAATCAAGCAATATTCCCTACTTCCGCGATTTGTGGCTTAAATTTAGGGATTTCATATAGAGTTCTTCCCTTCTTCCTCTCCGAGTTTCCGTATCAATTTAATTACTCCTTATTACCTACCTACTCCGAATGAGCAAAGAAAGTTTTTAATGCTCACTGTTGCCTATTACAACCATTATTTTAACGTTTGAATGATTTCTATGTGTTTTACCCCTATTTTGGGTGATTTCGTGTACAATAAATGCTTGTTTGAGAATACTATTACGTGTCATGGGATGATATTGGCTCCCGGTAGAAATAACACCCTGATTCCTACTTCATTGGATTATATTCAATGTCATGAGATGATATTAGCTTTGGAGCAGCTAGAGTGTTTGATTCGTAAAATTAATACCTCGTAGTTCTTACTCTCATAATCTCCAGTAAATTCTTCCACACGGCCTAACTCAAACAATCCCCACCTCCTTAAATTTCACACTTCAAATATAGTGGACTTTAAGACTTTTGGGTCAAAAAATTGACCCCAAATTCAACTAAATTTGGAAGTGTAATTGAAGGGGGTGGGGGTGGGAATGGATTCATACCGGCCTGTGATGAGGATTTACCGAGGAGTTAGTTGGGCAGAAACTATCAATTTTATAAATTAGATACCGTAGGTGGTTAATTGGGGGCGATATCATCCATTACATGAAAACTCAATGTTATGGGAGTCTTGCCTATTGAAAAATGAGTTAGTTTACTTTCTTTTTCTTCCGGTTAGGTTGTAAGTGGTAGCTAGTTTAGATTTTCATCTAATCGTTTGACTTTTATTACGAATACATATTTTAATTTAAAATGACTAAGTTATCATTATAAAATGCAAACGTGTCCGACATAATTTTTTGTTTGACATATTTTAGATCATTTCAAATTGAAATTGCTAACACTTCAAATACTTCTATCTTACATTTTTTATCACTAATAACTCTGTTATATAATATTATTTGTTAATTTTTTTTAAAATTTTAAAACTCAGAGAGTTATCACCTGCATTAGAGTTCCCGCCTATGACAGTTCATTTGGATGAGCCACTCTTATATTGCTGGACTACAAGATCTTTGGCTCTATCATTCATTTTACTCTCTTTGTCCCAAAATCAATTTATCAAACAAGCTAATTAATAGCATAACAAAGGAAATATATATTCTTATGGCTTATATTCCCTTTGTCGTAAATTTAATTTATAATGTGAAAATGACATCAAATATAAGAAAAACAAAATTATATGGTTAAAGTTTATGTGGAGGGAAAAGGAATTGACCTATATATTTATATATATCCTTAAAGCGCCATAGAATTTTATGTCCATTTATTAGCACCTAAACTAGAAATGATGGGTTTTTGTGCTGCAAGGAATTTTGCAGGAAATAATATCTTTTGTAGGCTTCAATTACTTAAATAAATACTACCTCCGTCCAGTTTTGACTTTTGTAACTGTTCATCTAAGCACTTTGACTCATCAAATTCTCTCAATGTGTAAGTCTAAAAATAGTCATGTGTGATCTTGTTTGATTTGTCTTAACATATAGATTATTAATATATAAATTTTATAATTTTTTAATATACAAATTAAAAGATAAAATGGATTAAAGAAGTGCATTGGATGGTGTGCAAAAATGAAAGTGGAAAATAGAGTGGGACGGAGGGAGTAAAATAAACCACTGTGAAACATGCAATATTTATCACGGGGTCCTTCAAATTTGTAGTTAATAAACTACAAATTTTATACTCTCTCCGTTCCTTTAAACATTTCTTATTTTGACTTTGAGCCAAAATAAGGAAAGTGTAATTTTGGTTGACTTTCCAATTTTGCCCCTGATGTGATGGGTAAAAGTAAGATGTGATAGTTTGGTTATTAGTGAAAAAGTATGATGTGATAGGTATGGTATGAAAAAGTAGGGGTAAAAGTGATTTTTTAATAGAAAGTGGAAGTGTTTTAGGGAATCGGAAAAAAATAAAAGAGGAAGTGTTTTATGGAATAGAGGGAGTATTTGACAATATATTATATTCCACATTGACACACACAAGTGAGGTCGCACATGTGGTGACAAATTCTAGAAAGGTTCCAAGAAGGAGAGGGTGGGCATGCATTGCCAAATGTATGGGATGCATTATTATTATTGATTAATTACATCCAATTAGTGGGACATTAAGCGTGGGTTTGTCTAACTTAATTAGGAAAACGACTGGGATTGAGCTATTCATCATCATCCCAACTTCAACTTCAATTTGTTTGGCCTCTTCTTTAAATTATTAGTAATTTGATCATGACTACTCGATTGGAGAAGATACCCGTGCGTTCCAAATACATGGTTTACCCAATTGAATTGCTCTACTTGGGTCTTGTCCTATTTCCTGTTTTTTTTATTTATTAATTCATAAATTTTAGAGTTTTGAATCTTAAATTCAAGAGAATAATAATATTATTAGAGTCTAAAGTATGAAAACTAGAATCACAAGCATAGAGATTGGAGTTTGATAGAGTTTGAAAATCTAAGTCTGAAGCTATTAATTTAGAGTTTAGAGTTTAGAATCAGATTCTAAGAAAAATGAACGGGTGACTCTTCTCATTAGAAATTGATTCTTAAAAAAATCAATTACGGAGTATTTGATTCTTCAAGATTAACTACTCCGTGTTGAATAGAAACTAGCACTATACCTGAGGAGAAAGAAGAACAGAACCAAAATAGGAGTAAATATACTTAATTTATTACTATGAGACTTTTTGGGAGAAGTTTAAAAACTAATCCTTGAGGACGTAATTGGTTCAAAGCAGACAATATAATACGATTTTAAAAATCAAAATTAATGAATTAAGAATCAAAGGAGTCCATATTTACTTGGTACTAGATGAATCTCTCTTTTTGGGAGGGTGTAGGGGACACCCTTTCTTTTGGGGGAATATAATCTAAAAAAGTATATATGGATGTTTATGTTCTCAACACCATCATCCTATCATAGTATTCTTTGATGAGAACACAGAATAAAAATCCCACACAAGATCCTGCGCTGTGATTTCTTGCCTGGCATCATTGAACGACATAACTCATGTTGTTGTTGTGTTATCAAATGCATGCAACTCCGTTTATGTAAGAGCAACAACAAACAAACAAAAAGATACGTTTTTGTTGAGTGCTATATCTACCTACTATATATACATGCTGCTCCTGTCTTCTTAGTTAAGTTTTTCTTGGAACTGAACTTCTACAAAGTCAAATCATCATTTTTATTTCGGAACACGCTTGACTTCTTTGAACCTTGCACGTGAAATCTTATTTTTTGAAAAAATTGGGTAGCATTGAGTTTTGAATCCGTGACTTCTTAATCAACAAGGCTCTGATACCATATCAAGGGAATCTCAATCAAAAGCTTAAGCTTGTGATTGTGGTCAAAAAAGATTTTTATATATATAATCTTTTTTTTAAAGGCTAACATTATTAATTATTGTAGGTGAACATAGTTTAGGCCTTAGAGCATATACAAAAGTGTAAATTTAGTTTAGGGAAACTCAAGTTCAATTTGTGTGGCTAATAAAAATCCAATTCAATTATGATAGCTCCATTATAAATGTAGACCCCCTCTTATAAAGGTTCAAAAAAATATGACAAATGAGTTAAAGGAGGGGAAAGGGGAAAGCAATTCAAACATAGAGGGACATTGGGAATTATTGTGTACACCATAATATTGTTTGTGGTGCGCCGTATGTATATATATTCATAGAAGGGACCCTGTCACTTTTAATTCCATGATTTTGTTCAAATTGACATCGAGGGGGGTTGTGCACATATACATTCAACTGCTACATTCCATTCACAGAATGCAGCCGCCTAAAGGAAACACATTGGTCCCTATAATATGAACTTAATTATCATATGATGATGCTACAATACATTTAATCATAACCAACTAATTAATCTTAAGCTTCTAACCAAAATCATGCATGTATGTTAGCTAGGTTGTTTGTATTCCTACCAACTAATCATGACTTAATTAATTTCATCTTCTTCGTTTGATTTTTTATTTCTCATATTAATGTTTTATCATTTAGATTAATTAGGTAGCTAGGCTTTTTGGTTGTTGCATTGATTTCTTGATTAGTTACTCCTTCCGTCTCAATGTGTTTCTAGAGTATTTCTTTTCGGGTCGTCTCAATATCATCCATGTTACGTTTTTGGTGTGTCCAGGTTCTACGCATCGGAGGTGATCGTGGCTCTGGAGTACGTACACATGATGGGCATCGTCTATCGTGACCTGAAGCCCGAAAATGTGCTTGTCCGATCCGATGGCCACATCATGCTCACGGACTTCGACCTCTCCTTGAAATGCGACACCTCCACGTCGACTCCGGCCCAAGTCATCCCGAGCGGTAGGAACACGCCCGCCTCTCAAAACGAGCACGGCCACACCATCAACCCGCCAAAGTTCACCGCGACCTCGTGCATCCTCCCCAGCTGCATGGTCCCCGCGGTCTCCTGCTTCACCCCGAAGCGGAAGCGGAAGAAGAAGACCCGCGGGGGAGGGCAGCACGGGGGGCCGGAGTTCGTGGCCGAGCCCGTCGACGTGAGGTCGATGTCGTTCGTCGGGACCCACGAGTACCTGGCCCCCGAGATCGTGTCGGGGGAGGGGCACGGGAGCCCGGTGGACTGGTGGACCCTAGGGGTATTCATCTTCGAGCTGCTGTACGGGGTGACGCCGTTCAGGGGGGCGGACAACGAGATGACACTGGCCAACATCGTTGCTCGGGCGCTCGAGTTCCCCAAAGAACCCGTCATCCCGGCAACGGCGAAGGACTTGATATCGCAACTTCTGGTGAAAGATCCGGCGAGGCGGATGGGGTCAACCATGGGGGCAACGGCAATAAAACACCACCCCTTCTTCCATGGCGTGAACTGGGCTCTCCTACGTTGTACGCCTCCCCCGTTCGTCCCTCCGCCCTTCTCCCGAGATGTTCTGTCCGATGAAAGCTGTCCCGACACCCCCGTGGAGTATTACTAGTAATTAAATTATTATTATTATTTGTGTAAGAATTGAAGATTAGTGCATGCATGTGAATAGAATTAAGATCATTTTATCATTAGTAATTTGATTAAATTACTAATATATATCCTCTCTCTGTCACCCTTTGATCTCCAGCTTATTATGTATGTGTAGTTCACTCCTTATGCATCAAATAATAAATATTTATTTCTTTTCAAATTCAGTTTTCGAGTTTAATACTTAATATTGCTTAAATGTGTATTTAGTATAGTTTGTCTCATGATTGGCTAGACATGCATGGAAACAATTGGGTTTAATTTGAGTGTGATTTATGAGATAAACTCTTCAAATGAAAAACGCGACTTATAAAATCGTATTCTAAAGATGGTACTGTAAATGCAAAAGGGCTATTAATTCATAACACTTTGCACATAAATTAACATGAGAGTCTCTGATCTGAAAATTAAATTAAACTCATAATTCCTGATCACCAATAGTCCAATAATGAGTTTCAATCAAATGAAACTGATCGAAAAATTAAAGTTGATATGGCATAACAAATTGATGTGTTAATTAATTACTAATGTTTCAAATAAGTACAAAGGGATAGGGGCAAATAAAAGAGTATATTCACAATTGACATGGGGAGATTTCTTTGGCGGCATGCATGCAATAATATAAGCAGAGGACGACATATATATAAACATGCAGTTTCAATATTTGATTATTCTTGTAAAACGAGTAATTAATTAAGAAGTAAAAAGAGATAGGAATTGGAATGTGAAAGTCGTCAATGAAGGTGTGGGAGACATGGGATAGTGACAACGTGCGTGTAGACATCTGGGGCGTCGGCGACGGTGATGATGTAACGGTGTAAGCCTTGGTGGGGCCGGCCTGGTTAATTTACGTTGGTCATCCCCAAGCCCAAAAATATATTGCTGTTTCTCCTTCATTTCCTTTTTTCTCCCCTTCATTTCCTTGTTGTCCAATAATTCTTGCTTTTTCCCACATGATTTGTCCCCCCTTTTCCTTTCTCTTCATGCATAATTTAGTTTTAATTGATTTGAAATGGATTTGTAATTATATTGTTTGTAAATACAAGTCCCAAATTAGAGAGTTCTCCATATAATTTAAAGGAATTTAACTACTACCTAAATAAGACTAAAACATAAATTTTGTATCAAATTAAGCTTTTTTATCACAAAAAAAGTGCGCTTGTCACGAACATATGTTTATTATTTCCATTCCAATAGACTTTGTCAGAGATAATTGTCATCACGGATTTCGTCCGTCCCTAAATTGGCATTACGAACGTTTTAATATGGTCATGACAAAAAGGCCTTGACAACATGCTGTCATGGCGTTGGTCGTGACAACTTAATTAACGTCTAACTAGACTAATGTCTTTCATGTTATCACAACAACGATGACCGTGACAACATTTTAAATTTTTATGATATTACAACTTAAATTTTTCGTTTCCATAGAAATGTTTGTCACAAAAAACATCCGTCAAATGAGCGTTAGAATGTACTAATTAAGGTGCTTAGGTCAAGTTATTTAGCTATTAAAACTAGCATGTTTATGCTTAGTAAAATCATATCTAACCTGCATGTTAGGAAACATGTTTGAGTATATGACCTTTCCTGGCATATAACAATAAATTTAAACTTTCGGATGGAATTTTTTGAATTTGAGCTTTTGAATGTTTTTAAAATTTGTCTTGTTGATGGGTAGATTATTCGATTCATAAACTAGATTTGAGAGTCATAGAGGGAACTTAGCTTGTAAATTCAGAACTTGATTGAGGCAGGGATTGGAACTTGGAAGAATAATAAAATCCAAGATTTATGGCTTGATTTTGAATCAGTCTACAGGACCTGAAAACGTTCTGAACTAAGGTTGTCGAGAGGTTATTGTTGTAGTTTTGAGAAGGAACCCAAAGAGGAGTTTAGGATTTGGGTCCACGCGCCATATCCAACTATTGCGAAAACTGTGTCGTGACCTTTTTCACTTTATCCACAAGTGCCGCTTTTTTATCCTCGTAAGTTTTAATAAGCTGCTCCTTCTCCATTTCAAATCGAGGCTAGTGGCCTGCTTCTCAATCTCTTCTATCTATTGCCCTGGGATATCATGCCCTCCACCGATCACTGATGAATTTGATACCGATGTTTCATTGCATGCACTTGATCCCATCACAAAAACACCAATTCTTCATCACCCCAAGAGCCTCCACATACACAACATCTTCATTTTTCGAGGTCGACGACCCACTTCCCGACTCTTGACTCTTTTGAGTCAAGAGAGACGGAAAACCACTCTATTCAAATACTCAATCGGCTCATTAGAACACTTCATCTTTTTTTCTCTTTCACCAAAATACTTCCACTTTCTATAAAAATTCACTTTTACTCCTACTTTTCTTACCCCACTTATCACATCATATTTTTCACTAATAATATATTCATTACATCTTACTTTTATCCATCACATCAAAGACAAAATTAGAAGGTCAACTACAATTTAACCATTTTTTATTTTGGCCTTTGGTCAAAATAGGAAGTGTTTTTTCAAATGAAGGGAGAAAAATAAATAAACAAATGAAATTTGACGCGGTTTTAGTCATAAGCCCACGCACACATAAACACACACACAATGTACCAAAGTATTAATGGTTTATTAAATTTAAAAAATTTAAAAATTGGCCATGCTTTTTTTTGCACTCCAGCACTAAAATGACCCTCATGACCCTGGTACTCTGTCAATACTTTCCAATGTTCCTTTGAAACAATGCTTTCCAATGTTCCTTTGAAACACAATTTCATTTAGGTCAACTTATCCGACGAACTGCGAAGGTATATTTTGGTCAAGTAGATGCTCAAGTGTTAAAGGCATTTCAGACACCCTTCATGTGTTTTTCCCCCACCAATGACGACGATTCTTAAACAAAGTCCATCTTCTATCACGAACCTCCTCTTTCGTTGCCGCCTAAGAGATGTTGCGAACTCTCACATCATGCTAGTTGATCTTAGATGGACCTCGCCAACCTTTGGTTTCCTTGATAGCGACGATTTAGAGCCCACACCAACCTCTCTAACATTAACAAATAACACAATGTCTTACTTCGTAATATAATAGATGGACCTCGCCTACCTTTGTATTTTTAACAAATAAAACATATCGCATGTATTAATTGTTCTTTTAATAGTTTATTCATCTTAGCTAATATATCAAATATCTAATATATTTAGACGTTATTTTACCTATTTTTTAAATAATTATGCAGAAATTCTTACTTAAACGGCCTAAGCTAGCCCGAAACACACGAGCACGCTACGGGCCGGGTTCGAGCGTCAATTATTAAGCCCGCTATATGGATGGATCTGGTCTCAACGTGACTTCCCCATTTTGATGAGGAGGGAGGGAAGACGGTATAAATCTAGCAAATTTAAAATCGTTTAATCTCTTACTGAAAAGAACAATTTTGTAGCTTTGGCTTAACTGAAAAACCCTAGGTCAATGGAGGAAGCAGCTAACGGAAGTGAGCCTTCAGCATTGACGGAGAAGACGACGGAGGTGGAGATAGACGATGGTCCGGTCATAGGTCCAGGGCCAGCTCCTCGTGCTCGGCCTAAGCGGCCTCTTCAATTCGAGCAGGCATATCTTGATTCTCTCCCTTCTGCAAACATGTAAGGGTCACAATCATAGAATTATGTGTATGGAGAATAGTTTAGGGTTTCTAAAGGTTTCTTTAAAGCCATGCGAATTCTTAATTTAAATAGCTGAAAGACAGTTGCTTGGAGTTTGCCTTTTTTTTCTTCTTGGAAATTCTGGTCTTGCTACAATTAGTGTGGGAGAAAAGAGGTCAAATTTGTAGCTACTTATAGCGAACAGCGAGCCTGTGAACTCTATTTCTCTTATATTGCATTAGAACAGAACATCGTGTAGGAATGGAGTATTATTTGACAATTAAAGTCTTAACAGAAATTATGAAAATGGACTACGGAGTACATTTTATCTCCTTGTAGACTGTCGGCATTCTCGATTAGGATCTTTTTCCAGAGTCGAAACAAGCAGCACCTATCACATTCTAAGAATATTATGAACTCTCTGTATATGTTAAGGCTGGCCTTTTAACATGACATTGCTCGGGTCTAGTGGCTTCATTAACTGTGTTAAGAAGGTTTTATACCACTATTTTTGACAAACTTATGTTCAGTGTTAAGTTGCCACAATATTCGTGTCTTGAAATTTCCCGGTTGAACTATATATTGGCTTTCATTTTATATCCTTCCATATTTTGGCTCACTGAACAATACCCAACAAAAATCATATGTTGCTGGGGTGGGGGGATACTATTTGTGAGTTACTACTTACTAGAAAGATTATGTGTATCAAGGTTTCATTAACTTTGCAAGTGATAGAGTGCCACATATGTTGTTAATCATGTTATGTTATTAATTATTATTATATTAGAGTCAGTTGGGGTCATTTGTTTATGAGGTCAAATGTTTTATTTTATACTCCGTATATGTTAGTTACTTAGTAAATAATGTGTAAGTGGGCCTAAATTCTAGGAGTAGTTGCTAAGTAATGTGGTAGTCAGCCTAAAGTTTAGGAGTACTTACTAGGTAATGTGGTAGTGGGTCTAAATTCTAGGGATTGGTAGTTATTTGGCTTCTATAAATATTGAGGCTAATTATTTGTAAAAGCTATCCAGAAAGTAATTCAATATTTATTATTGGAGATTCTTCTTGGCTTTATTACTTATATGAGTTTAAGAATCTTGCTCATATTTTGATAAAGAGTTTCATTCATCTTTATTACTTTATGGAGTTAGATCCTGATTTCATAATCTTATAAAGGCTTTCCTTTATTTATTTCCCTGCCTCTCTTGCGTTCTATCATTTGGTATCAAAGCCATATGATCTTTATGGGTTCCTTCTGCAGAAATTCAGTTTCTCCATTTTCTCAATACATTTCCTCATCCAAGAGTGATACTCTTTATGAAGTACACCAAATGCTTTACATTGTAGCTGGCCTTAATGTCATTAATTCCAAACGGGCAGCATCAGAAGTTCATTGTATGACTGTTAATCTTGTGACACCCTACAAAAGAATCACATCTAGTAACTTCCATGTAGAGGTGAAGGGAACGAAAATTCAAAAACAGAACGGCAGGGTTACATTCGTTTGTAAGCCCAAACATCCTACCATTGCAGCCAACCGCTTCAATTACCCCCATCCAACATGTAATTTCCTACGTGATGACAAGGGAGTTTCAATTGCAACTCTAAGTCAGCACCTCATAGCAATCGTGTTGTCTTCACAGTGCCCCTCCATGATCCTGACTAGGACATCTATGGATGGCAAGTGGCAACGACAATTTGAGTCGAGGCTGTTCCAATATGAAGGTACGATTCGTATTGGTTGCCACTATCAAATCTCTCCATTCTCACCTACAAAATTGGCTAGTGAAGTAGCCATGATTCTTTTGCCAAGTGCTGTTGAGAATGCCTCCAGTTTGGGGTTACAAAACTCTTCTATACGTGCTAACGCTATCGTGGGAAATTCTGCAGCATCACCGATAAAGATTCATGAACTCTTGGATAGTGGCGTCATGCATCGATTTACCCTTGAAGTTGTTATGTCATATTTGGACCTTTTTGTTCGAAGCCCCATTGCTTTCATTGGAGTTTCTCATTATTTTGTCTTCCTACCACCTCTACCGAAACCTCCAGATATACAGAGAAGCTGTCCAGATTTTGCCTTGAGGACAAGGGAAATTTTGAAGGAGGGGATAATGATAGAGTGGCACATATGCTGTTAATCCCGTTATGTTATTAATATTTATAATAGAGTCAGTTGGGGTGATTTGTTTATGAGGTCAAATGTTTTATTTTATATATGTTAGTTACTTAGTAAATTATGTGTAAGTGGGCCTAAATTCTAGGAGTAGTTGCTAAGTAATGTGGTAGTCAGCCTCAAGTTTAGGAGTACTTGCCAATTAATGTGGTAGTGGGGCCAAATTCTATGGATTAGTAGTTATTTGGCTTCTAGAAACATTGAGGCTGATTAGTTGTTAAAGCTATCCAGAAAGTAATTCAATATTTATTATTGGAGATTCTCCTTGGCTTTATTACTTATATGACTTCAAGATTCTTGCTCAATTTTGATAAAGAGTTTCATTCATCTCTATCACTTTATAGAGTCAGATCCTGATTTCATAATCTGATAAAGACTTTATTTATTTCCCTGCCATTCTTGAGCTCTATCAGCAAGTTTATATTTCATCCTAGAAATTTCATTAGGGTATCCTGATATCAAAGGGGGATCTTTCAGTTTTATAGTTATTGGTTATGTAATTCTTGAAGTCATAATATCTGTGACTTTTTAATCACACTCAATACTCTGCAGGTATGAGAAAAGCTACATGCACCGAGATGTGGTCACACATGTTGCTGTGTCCTCAGCAGATTTTTTTGTCAGTGGGAGTGCTGATGGTAATACCAAGTTCATGTACTAATTTAGTACCTTTTAGCAAAGACTGCTTGCCTCGGTAATAAGTATTATTTGAGCCAATTAAAATAATATGATTTGGGGACACTGTTGAACTTTGTACTCTATCCATTTCATCTTGTGATAAATGGTGCAATATATTTTTATTTGGTTCAGAGGGGTTAATTTGTCTTTGGGGTTCCTTTTTGTAATTCATTCTCTTCAGGCCACTTAAAGTTCTGGAAGAAAAAGCCTGCTGGTGTTGAGTTTGCGAAACACTTTAGGTCTCATCTTGGTCCAATTGAAGGCCTTGCTGTAAGTTTCTCCATTTGTGTGTGTGTGTGTTTGAAATCCTGGGTGGTACACCGTACACTTTGTGAAGCACTAGAGGCATTGGTTGTGACATGTGACACGATCTCTTCATATAACATTCTCTTTTGAGTTATTGGGTCTGTAGATGATTGAATTTGTTCATTTTATGCTACTGTTTGTTTTACAGCTTATGGTTTTAATGCCTTCTAAGTCACCCCCGAACTGCCCTCCAACCAAAATGAAATAGAATGTAAAGGAAAAAATAATAATAAAAGTTTTAATTGCCTGTTGATGTTCTTAATTTGAATTTCAATCTAACTTCTTCATAATTGTTTTGGCTTTATTTGTCTGTTTTGAAACAAAATTAGTTGGTATATTATGAATTAATGCATCTTACTGTTAAGAGTGCCTAACAGGCTATCACCTTGGCTTGTTATTTCAAATAGGTAAGCATTGATGGAATGCTTTGTTGTACAATATCCAATGACCGAGCTGTAAAGATATACGATGTAGTCAACTATGACATGATGGCCATGATACACCTTTCATTTGTACCTAGTTCTGTTGAATGGGTTTACAAACAAGGGGATGCTAAAGCAAAGTTAGCTGTTAGTGATTGTAATTCCTCTTTTGTGCACATATATGATGCACGAGCTGGTTCCAATGAACCTATCCAATCTAAAGAGGTACTTTATTACATATTAGATGCTAAATTTTGTGCTATTATTTTGTGTACTATCATATCACTATGAAAACATGGTTTAAGTTTTTTATTTACTATTTCTGCTCAGATACACTTGGCCCCAGTTAAAGTAATGAAGTACAATCACATCTTTGATACTGTGATATCAGCTGATGAGAAGGGAATCATTGAATACTGGAGTCCTACTACACTTCAGTTTCCTGAAGACGTGTATGTGTGTTGAAATAATGTTTTTTTGTCTACTTGAGTGACTGTAGTAAAATCTCTGAATCATTCATTAATCTTCAACAACTCTATATCTAAGTTTCCTTTATTCTCTCTTTTAGTGAATGTGTGTGTGTGAGAGAGAGAGAGAATCGTTTAAACCAACCAAATTTCTTAATTTTCCTGAGGAAAACATTAACACTATGTTTGGTTCAAGGAAGTTGGAAGGAAAATAAAAGAAAATGATTTTCTCTCATTTTCCTCTCTAAAATGAGATGAATTTGATTTTCTCTCATCTTGGTAATTTTGCCTTCTAATTTTCTTTTCCTTCCAATTTTCTTTCCTTTTTCCTCTCTAACCAAACATGAAAATTGTTTTCCCTCTCAATTCCTTTTCTTTTCCCTTCCAAATTCTTTGAACCAAACATAGTGTAAGATAAATCTTCAATAGTTAATATATACAGAGTATTTAGAACAGTTATTCAAATGTAATATGGAGTGTTGCTTTTTTTATTCTTTAATCTTTTGTGTGCAACAACAACAACCCACTTCAATCCCACATTCACACGAAAGTAGGGTCTGGGGAGGGTATGTGCGCGCAGGCCTTACCCGTACTAAAATAGAGAACATCTTTCGTGTGCATTATAGATAAATATGTTTGGTTGAAGGCAGAATAGGAGGTGGCATGGAATTTTGATACTTATCCTACCTCTTGTGGAAATCTTATTTCCTGAATTTTGAAAGATGTAAAAATGCTGTTTGTTCTACTCCTGTTTCTCCTTACTCACATATTGTCTAAACTAGGTTGCTAAGCTATATAATGCGTCCTTTTTATCTTTATTTCCTAAACATTGTGTAATAACATGCTAATATGATTGAGTTAATAGTCATTTTGGTCCCTCTAAGTTTACTCATGACTCAATTTGGTCTCGGTAAGTTCATTTGAGTCAAATTAGTCCCTATATATAGAAAATGTGAATCAAGTTAGTCCTTCGAACACAATTTATCTCTTAAAATTCTGAGTTATCACGTTAGTTGACGCAAGAGCAATGACCCCGTGTATTAGTTTTTGTATCAATTAACATGTTAACTTATAATTTTAGAATATAAATTTTGCATAAAGGACTAATTTGATTCACATTTCCTTGTTACAGGGACTAATTTGACTAAACCAAACTTACAGGGACCAAATTGACTCATGAGTGCACTTACAGGGACTAAAACGAGTATTAACTCTAATATGATTGATTAGTTGTTTGTGCATTTTATTTAAAAGATTTGCTCGAACTATTGAAGTGGTTTTTAGTTCCTCATTGCCCATGTCTAAGAAGTTATCTGTTTTCCTTATGGAAGCTATTTGCCTTTTTTGTACAGCGTGAGCTTCAAATTAAGAAGTGATACCAATCTTTTCGAATTTGTGAAGTGCAAGACTACCATATCTTCCATTGAGGTAACTAACAAACCTATCCTAGTACATACTCCATTCGATCCTATTTAGTAATCTCTTTGGCAATTATATGCAGCACTAGTTACTTTCTCGCTGCCCATTTAGTAAATACATATGAAACCTATACATATTCCCTTCTATGATTTTAATAGTAGCGCATTGGGAAAAATGAAAAGAGAATTAGAGCATGTATTATTAATTGTGATGCAAGCTCGTAAATATGTGTTCTTTTGAATAATTGAATAGACTATATAAGTTGGAATTACCAACATCAACAAGCCCAGAGCAGTGACTGTTTTCCTACAAGTGGGTTATGGGGTGGGTAACATGTATGCAGACATTGCCTTCACCCGTGAAGTCCCACAACTATATTGGTTGGAATTGATTTAAAATTTTCATATAGCCTTCTTAGTGTGTGATCAGATACGAGGGACATAGATTTAAGATCGGAGAGAATAGAATTTTGTGTTGTTTGTGTTTATTCGCTGGTTCCCTTGTTTGTCGAAACTTGGTATTTGTGACGTGGCAGTTACATTTGAAATATCGTTGAAGTTAAATGTATTTGTACCAGTAATAGCTCAGTAATTCTTAATTTGTTTGGTTTGGAAAATTCATCTCTTCTACTAATGGCAGGGTTACTCTCATACAATGCTTAAACATCTTGTTTGATTTTCAGGTTAGCTCAGATGGTAAGCAATTTTCTATTACTTCTCCTGATCGTAGAATCCGTGTGTTTTGGTTCAAAACTGGTAAATTAAGGCGTGTTTATGACGAATCTCTCGAGGTAAAATCACCCAGTTAATAACTTCATTCTATAATTGTATCAGTTATTATGAGTCTATGACCAAATATATTGCATCTTCTAGGTGGCACAAGATCTACAAAGAAGTGATGTACCTTTGTACCGACTGGATGCTATTGATTTTGGAAGAAGAATGGCCATAGAAAGAGAAATTGAGAAAACTGAAAATGTGCCACAACCCAATGCTGTTTTTGATGAAAGTTCAAATTTTATTATTTATGCAACACTCCTAGGGATCAAAGTAAGATGCAGATATGGTGAATTAAGTGTACAATGTTTACCAATGAGATTCATTTGTCTAGCCTATATGAACCTCATCATTATCTTCAAACTGTGTCAGATTGTGAACCTGCATACCAACAAGGTTGCTCGAATTCTTGGCAAGGTGGAGAGCAATGATAGATTTTTAAGAATTGCCTTGTATCAAGGTGATAGAAGTAACAAAAAATTCCGAAAACTTCCTACAGCAGCAAATGCTAATGAAAGCAAGGAGCCTCTGATGGATCCTACTCTCATCTGCTGTGCTTTCAAGAAACATAGGATTTATTTGTTCAGGTATTATAATATTCATGATGCGGCTAAGTAAGGAGAATAATGAGGTGTTTATTCATTTGTGACATATGTATCCAGTTCTAAAAACGATTTCATGCAAAATATTTTCTACTATCTGCAGTCGGAGAGAACCTGAAGAACCCGATGATGTAAATAAAGGAAGAGACGTGTTCAATGAAAAGCCTCCTCCCGAGGAACTTTTGGCTGTATCAGAAACTGGAAAGACAGTCACAACTTCTCTTCCAGATAATGTGGTATTTAGACGTTCTTGCTTTCCATCAGTTTTTGTTTTGTTTTTTGGGCGAGGATCTCTACAAGAAGTATTGATCATCATCATTAACACCTTAATCCCAAGTACATAGGGATCAGTGGCATGAGAATTATAATTTTGAGTTGGGATAGTCGGCATAGTTATGTCTGATTGCAGCATTGATACTAATAAAATCAACATGCACATCATGGAACATGACTGAAAGAGAAGTATTGATATTGAGCTAAAATTGAACTAAATAAGCACAACTTGCACATACCTTAGTGGGGTACCATTCCCTGTGTCTCTATCAATTATTTGAGCACTGAAATACTGAATGACTAATGAATTACAAGCTAGCTTATTAGCTTGTCAGCACATAGCTCAACCAAAATCAAAGGGTAAGTGCTTTCTGCTGTGGAAAGAAGACTCTTTATAATTAGTTAAGTGTATCTGTGTTCTCTGAGCAAATTTTTATTATAGATCTGTGCATCTTATATTCTTATAACATCCTCTAAGGCGTGTCTGTTTAGTTCTCAGTTCATTATGCCTTGCAGTTACTGGTTGCCTTTTTTGCCTGATCTGATAAAGTTTTAGTATATAAATAAATAATATCTCTTCTTTTTTGTGCTTTATTTCCTTTTTGTTGGATGTTAGATCTTGCACACTACGATGGGTGACATTCATATGAACCTATACCCCGAAGAGTGTCCGAAGACAGTGCAGAACTTTACAACACACTGCAGGAATGGGTATTATGACAATCTGATATTTCATCGGGTTATCAGAAACTTTATGATACAGACAGGAGATCCACTAGGAGATGGCACTGGTGGGCAGTCAATTTGGGGTAGGGAGTTTGAAGATGAGCTTCATAAAAGGTGAGTCTTCAGGATTAATGGCTAGAATTTGAGCTTCAATTTAGAGTTTGTTTGGTGAGATTTTTAATGGCTAGAATTACTGAATTTCTGGATGAGATGGTTAAATTGGCTGATTAAACTTCACAAATTACTTCAGAAAATATAAATAAATAATTTATGAAAAGGCAGGAATATAAATTTCAGCCAAAAAGTAACTCCTGCACTATTAATGACTAAACGATTCAGCCAGCGTAGTAAATAAACTAGTTTTTTATTTTAAAAACTAGCCGATGAGCCAAAAATGAATCCTACCAAACAGGTTCATAGTCTCTCTCTCTCTCTTTCTCTCTCTCTCTCATCTTTGTTTTCCAGCAGAATCTAATTTAAGTTTGTGCAAAACTGTTTTGGTGCGTACAGTTTGAGACATGACAGGCCATTCACGCTATCAATGGCTAATGCTGGACCAAACACCAATGGCTCTCAATTTTTCATCACCACCATTGCCACCCCGTGGCTGGACAATAAGCACACTGTTTTTGGCAGAGTTGTGAAAGGAATGGACGTTGTTCAGGTGAAAATACTGGCCGATCTCTCATGCCAAAAAATTGAGAGGAGCCTGCATAAAGTTTTTCTATGAAGGATGTCCCTTGTCGAGTTTCCACTTTAACATATCTTTCTAACGATGCATTTATTGCAGGCAATAGAGAAAGTGAAGGTGGACAAAAATGACAAGCCATATCAAGACGTTAAGATATTAAATGTGACCGTCCCAAAGTCCTAAAAGTAGTTTTGAACGACGTGTTTTTTGGGGGTGTGACATTTTGTATATCTCCTCCCCATATCCTAGACCTAGTTGTCCTTGCAGAAGTGAGCACGGTGCACTTGCACGGGTACCAAGTAAGAACTGCAACCTGGTAATGCCTCTTCTGCCATTTGATCCTCATCTTAAGTCCACACCACCATCACCACCACCCCCACCCCCACCACCACTTGCAACCAGTGTCTGCTACCGATTTTTTTAAAATAAACTTTGTTGTTTGAAGTTGCACTTACAATTTTACCACCACATTTTCTTTAAAAAATTTACCTTTGTTTTGAATATCATATTGATCTCATTTTTTCACCTAAAGAGCATATTTTATGTAATGACGATTTGCTGTGTTTTCTTGCAGTACTTTGTTACAAAGACTCGGCTGTGCATGATTTGTGACGAAGCTGAGAACTCGGAAGCAGACTAACATGATCCAAATTAAGTGTGTACTATTATTTTTATCTTTTGTGTTATGTTTTTTTTCTTTTACACTCTCATTTTCATAAATTTTGTGTACAAAGTGAAACTGGTAAACTACATATGGACCAATGGAGCAACTGTTTTTTTTTCTTTTTGCTGTAAACTGGTAGCGTTAAGGCTTGAAAAGATAAAAATGTATTTTTATGAAAATTTAATCCCTTACCACAAAAGAACTATTCCTTAGAGAAAAAAAACTAAACTAGAAGTAAAATATTAAAAATATATTAAAATAGGATTTTATTGTTATTATTTTTGAAATATGAGTTTAATGCATATATAGTACCAATCGACTATATACATTACTAAAAAGTAATGTGAAATGTCTATACAGTGCCAGGAAACTCCTATCTTGGAAGTAAAAATATAGAGTTTTAATTTTAGTACTTTTCTGTGTCTTATTCTTATTTGAGGTGATTCTTTTATCCCCTTGTAGAATTTTCAATTTATTTGACAAAATAGCAAAAGCATTTCTTTTGAAAATTTTTAGTTTTTATGTTTTGGTGTCGAATGGAGCTACGCCACGCTTTATCATTGGCCAAAAACTATTGCCATCCCAAAATTAAACTATATTCTTCTGTTCGTTCCAAAATGAAGAAACCTAACCAACATTATCCATTAGCATAATTGTTCCTATAGTATCAATTAATATAAGTTTGAAGAACCTAACCAACATTATCCATTCGCATAATATTGTTAAAGTATAATGAACGATGATATGTCTGAAGGAGAGTGTTAAATATGGTAGATATATTACTTATATTATTTAGAATATTTGTTTCTTTATTTACCTTGACTTTACCTCATTACATACATGTATAAATACACCAACCTATGATGAATAAAGGACTGAGTTTACAACATCTTCATTGTTTTTCAAGAACGAAATATGTAATTTTTATAAACACTTTCATAAAATATAATTGTATTATACTCCTTCCATTCAAATACTCCCTCCGTCCATAAAAGAACTTCCCGGTTTGACCGGGCACGCATATTAAGAAAAAGTGTAAATGTGATTGACTTTCCCAAAACACCCCTCAACCTCTTTCTCTTCTCTTCCGTACTCCAGCACACTTCTCTCCCAGTCTCCGTAGGTCTCTGTTTTTGGTAGACAAATCGATTTAGCCCCCCACCAAAGAGCATCCATAGGCGAGGCAAGGTGTAAGCCGCCGACAAGCTTGTAGCGATCGGCAAGGAAAGATACGGCAATCGCGATCCAAAATAAGGCAGCAACGATCGGACGACGCAAACAAAGCAGCGGCAAAATTGATATTTACAATAATTAACGGTAGATCTGCGCAATCCGACTGCCGTCTTGCTACTCCAATGGTACTTCTGACCGCCGCCTCACTGTTACATGTGTCACCAACTGCTGCTATAAATTTGAATTAACAAAAATTTCAAATAGATCTAAGAAAGGAGGAAGAAGGCGAGTTGAGAAGAAGAAAAAGGATATGAACTGATGAAGAAGAAGAGGAAGAAGAAGAAGACTTTGTGGTTGAGATTAGGTGGAGAACGAAGGAAGGAAAAGAGTTAGAAAAAAGATTGACAGCTTTGGAGATAAGAAATGTGTGGCTTGTGGTTTGGATGTTGAAATTCATTTTAAGGGTAAGGAGGACATTTCACACATAAAAACATGCCTAAAATAGAAATGGGAAGATAATTTGTGGACGGACAAAAAAGGAAAGTGGGAAAATAATTTATGGACAGAGGGAGTAATATTTTACAATTTACGCAAAATGATATTTCAATCATAATTTCCATTTAGAGACTAGATAGAAAAAAATGTACTCCAGAATTATTTCATCTTGGTTTGATAATTATCTTTAGTTGAAATAAAGCAATCCCAAAGATGTCCCCTTAATTTTTAGATTACTAACATCTCAACACATATTCTCCAGGGAAGTTTTCTCAACACAACTCTGGGCTTCATATTCACACTCCAACACCTTACAATACAAAAGTATCAAACTGGTTGTCAAATATGTTGCAGCCAAAGAGCATATTTTCTGAATAACTATATAGTAATACCCTATTTCTACGCACGTCTGTATTCGTCTCCACAGTCCCCTATTGCCTTTTGAAGATCTTTACCCTTCTTTGTAATGTCGCGGATACGATCCATGTCTTCTTGATCAAGGGCAAGAGAGAACACGTCGTTTGAATCCTTTATATGTTCCGACAGCCCGAGCCTAACACCTATCATTGATCCAGCCACACACGGCTACACACAAACAAAGAAACCAGAACTCATTAACAACGTTCCATATTTTAAACGAGGAGAAAAGGAAAAACAAGGGGAAAAAACCTGATCGAGAATGTATTTCACAGCAACTGTTGGAATGGAGACGCCGTGTTTGTTAGCTACTTTTTTGAGTGTTTGAAGGAGCTCTTGGAAGAGACTCCACCCTCCCCAAACATCGACCATCTGCAACGTTGTTCATTTTACATCTCTCCAAAAGCAAAGAATTTCAATCAAATGTTCGTATAACATGCAAGAAATGAGGATTTTCTTGTGCCACTACATGCCTGATTGCATGACTATGGAACCTAATTTTGTCATTGTGCACAATTTTGAGCCCAAATTTGAAATGAGTTATTTCATGCTAGGTCCATTGTCAAATTATTGTTATATCCCTTCGTAGACTTACTTAACCAATAATGTATGGATGAAAGGATCATTTCACAAAGGGTGGGTAATTTGTGGTAGCCTTCTTTATTTGAGTGATTGGAGGCAATTCAAATCTCAATAGTCAGTTTGGATGGAGGATTTAGAAAGCTTCTGGAGTGGAAGTCTTTGGAGGGCTTAATCTGATCTTCATATATAGTTAAATAAAATGTTCTTCAAAAATGATTAAATGACTGTTACATAATTGCCTATTAAGTAACTCCCTTAATCTTATGAAATCTCAAGTATACATCAAGATTTGCCCTCCAAATCCTTTAAACACTCCATCCAAACTGACTTTGAACTAATGTTTTGTTGACAGTTACCTCAAAATTTCATACCAATAGAAAATTTAACTTCCTAAGCAGGTTTTCCAAGATATATTTGTTTATAAACATATATACCCTTTTGTACTTCTGTAATGAGGGAGTGTTTAAAGGAGGACCAGAAAAAGGAATCATTAAGTTGGTATCAAGAAATTTCTCAGATAACAACCCTCCCATTACTGTTCCGTACCTGCACCATAGAAAGCTAAATCTGTGTGAGGAAAAAAGAAGTGGATTAAATAATAACTGCAGCTTAAGGTTGATTATCACAACTCAAAAGTCAGAGCAAAACAGACGAAACAAACAAACAATTTGAGACCCACCCCCTTCCTTACCAAATCTTCATCTTTTTACTCCCTACGTCCCACTATTTTTGTCCGTCGTAACCATTTTGTGTTGTTCGATTATTTTTGTCCCTTACCATATTTATTAATGTCTATGTGACTCACATTAGTTCCTACTTTTTCTAATTTTTTTCATTACAATATCAACCAAGCAATTCTACTTTTCTGGATTTATGTGTGACTATCCTATGTCCCGAAAATAGTGAAATGGAAGGAGTATAAAGGAAAAGACTTACCATTAGAGCTAGAAAATGCTACGAGCTCATTCGGCAAAGGTAAAATTTGGTCAAAATGGATAGATATGTTGAATTTGCTCAGATTGAGGCCAAAATGCCTCGATGAGCTGAATTATCTAAACATGTATATAGATCATTTTATATATTTTCTCCATCCCAAAATAAAGTTTACATTTTCCTTTCTGGAAGGAACCAAAATAAAGTTTAAAATTTTTTATTTTCATATTAAGGAAATGAGTATGTGGCTCACTAAATATCTCTTTCTTCTAATCAAATTTCTAGCACACTCTTTACTTTTAACACTTTTCATAAGATTTGTGAAGTCAATTCTGTAAACTTCACTTTGGAACGGAGGGAGTAATATACGAATATATATAAAACAAGGCAAATACATCTTATCATAATGTAATAAGCTTCAATTGAAAAGTAATTTATGTGTTACTTTAAGTTAGCTGATTCAGTCAGTACGAGAACAACAACAACAAGCCACTATAATCCCAACTTTGTTGTGGTTTGGGGGTCAAGATCTACCCAATGTTATCCCTGTTAAAACAGAGACTGTTAGTGTTTGACTCTAGATACATTGCTGCATTTACTATCCAAAAATTCATAAAAAACAAGAAGCAAGAGAAGTTTAATGTGTCATTTTGATTGAGTCTATTATGTGCCTGAAACTAAAACATTGTCAATAACGACTCTTTTAGCTTCATTGGCAACGGATGGAAGCTGATTCAATGAGTGTAATATTTGGTAGAAAATGTGATTGATGTGCCAAATATATCATTCTACCAAAGGGGCATTAAATCCACTTTATTGTCATCTGTAAACATATTAATCAAAGAAAGCAGTGTTTCTATTGGAATGCTGACTAAAACTGTTTTCTGTGTAATTTCATTAATAAAGTTTGATGTTCAATGGCAGCTGATGATATATAATCTATTACTCACGAAAAGAAATGAATTAGCAGATATATGATGCAAACACACAAACATGAGGAGAGATAGAGAGAGAGACGTTATAAGTTTAACTCCAAATTGTAGACAAAGCTCTGCCATTTTCTGTTGAGGACGCATATCAACTATTGAATGTTGCACCTACAGAAATTGACAATATTATCCTGAGCTAATTAAGTTGAGCAACAAATGCAAAATATTGAGTACAACATACAAATAAACATAACACTTGATATGATACGGAGTACATCAAACCTGATTGCTAACAACTGGGATGCCATTTTCCAAGATTATATGTAATCTCTCGGTGTCAAAGTTGGTTAAAGCAACCGTCTTTATCTTACCTGTATAGCAGAGACACCATAATCAAATGTATTAACAGAAAAGGATTGAATTGGTGTGTGGTGTGAAGAATGCTACGAGATCATAAAACAACTAACCTTCTTCTTTCAGATCTGTTAGATGCTTCAATGCATCTAGGTACCCAAGATTCGAGTAATCCCACCTGATACACATGGTAATGACATGTGATATATGTAACATATACTCCGTATTAATTTAAGTGGCCTTATAGCAGCAAGATATTATTGGCTAAACCTTAATAAACGGATAAATTTGAGGCAAACCGAAAAGATAATTTTGTTATTATTACATGTTCCACTACTACATTACTTGCAGCTAAGAGTAAAGACAATCACTACCAATGAAATTGAAGCATGTCCAGAGATGCAACATCCATTCTCTTCCTTGAAACATCAATGTTTTGTCTAACAAAGCTACTGGTCATTTTCACAGGTGGTGGCACCCATTTGGTAAGGCTGCATTGCACTTTGAATGATCAGTGAAGCCAATTGCTTCCAAGACAAAACAATAAGATTCTAATGCAGCAAAGCCATTGCAATTTGCAAGCTACTACACTTCTTTAACTCACCCTCTTACAGATTCCAGATACTCTGGAGGACGCTCTCGGCGAACTCTATTGATGAAGATGCCAAAAAGATCTTCTGCTGGTCCATCTGCACAAAAAATCACGATTGCAGTTTCGAATAATGCTCATTTCATTTAGTCTTATTATGTTTGTGTTCTTATAAAGAATACTCGTTATTGGACGGACAACGCTTAAGCTACATCCGCGTGCACGAATATCAAATATACATACTCACTCTCATCAATCTCAAGCAAACCATAATGCTTAAAAATTGAAGTTTCAAATATGCCTATCTTTGTAAAGAATGTGTGTAATACTTTTATGTGGGGTTCTTAACACAACTAGTGAGCAATAAGACATTGGGGTTAGAGTAAAGATATGGGCAGGGAGAAAGACTCAGAGAATACCTAAAACATTTCAAGAGCCCTTTAGTGAAAAGCTTAACTGATAGAAGAATAGTTAAATATGAGTATCTATAATAATGGAGACAGAGAAGAGTACAGTGGTCGGCCATGTCGAAGGTAGTGAGACCAGCATCAGCGTGTTTGAGCATCGCCTCAACGGCGTCGTTTCTGTCGATTCTTCCCCATCCGCCGCTGGTCTGCCACATCCCGTTCAGGATTCTACATATTTCCACAGAATCATTGCCGTTCTTCAGCGTCACCGTCCGGTCCTTCTCCGCCACGGCCGTGCAGCACCTCGCCGCCGCCGCTCCTCTCGGATTCTTCCGATCACCTCCACCGCAAGTCCGCCGCTTCGCGCCAATTTTAGACGCAGAGAAGCTCGAGGAAGCGAAAGTGCTGGGAGGAAAACTGGAAACAGAGTGGCGAAGAGAAAGTCCAGTTGCTGCCATTTTTGGCTTCTGAAAGAAAAATGAGAGAATTTTGAACCTTCAAGAGAAAGAAAGTGTGGTAGTAATGAGTCCTCCTTCCCAAACTTCTTTTTCATCTCAATCTATTGCATTCTCTCTAATTCCGTTTATCAGCTCTGATTAGTTTCACATTGCAAATTACTCTACTCCACTTCTATGAATAAGGAAAAAACATACTCCCTCCGTCCTATATCTTTCTTCCCGTTGCGCAAAATGAACAAAAATCCCAAGTTTTTTCAATCTATTTTATTTAAATATTGGTATAGAAATAAAAAATAAAACATACATATTTAAAAACTACATCAAAAGTTCAACAAAACAAGTGGTGACAAGAATATTTTATTTTATCATATAGGCCATGAAAAAACACAAATAAATATAAATTCCCGTGAAGTTGGAATAGTGCTCTGGAAAAAAAGTTTTAGGACCGAGGGAGTACAAAATTAATTTTAAAGTTTACTTGCACTCTACTAGCTTTGCACCTTAAAATTTGGAGTAATATTTTAAATACGGAGTAGTACTCAATCACAATGTATTTTTCTAAATTAATTCTCAAGATTAACTAATTATCAAAATGGTATTCGTTAATTATAGATAATTTTTAGCTCAGTCCATTGACTAACGGCTGTTAATGTTACTTTGTAATTGGATACTTTCTCATATTGGTCTATTTTCAAAAATAAAAATACATTAATTATAGAAAAAATATTTTAAATATTATAGGATGAGAATATAATAATAAAAACTATAAATATAATTTTAGAAATTTGAAAATAAATGTTTTAGATTATTTAAAATTGTTTAGAAAAATAGTATCTAAATAAAATGTTTAACAAACATTATTTATATGTCAATTGCTCCAACGTTCCATGACATTAGGAACTAATGTCATGGGATGACTCAGGGCGCTTCGGTGCCCCGTTCGTAAAATTGACGGTTCATACTCCCTTAACCCCGATAAACCTTCTTACCTCGCCCCGATCCGAACACACCCCACCCCCCCTCCAATTGCATCCCACAATTTGGATTTTGACTTTGCCTCAACAAGCGTTCTGCTCATAATCCATCAGATGCAGACACCATTTTAGCTGCCAAATTGCTTCTGGAAAATTTCTCAATCTTCTGTTCTTCATGTTCTATCTGCCATTTCAGCCTCTCATCTTCTCGATCTAATCGACCCTCTGCTGTTACACCCTCTAACTCACTCTCCAGTGCTGCTGCGGTAGGAACGGGTCGGATATATTCTTGCTTGAAATTCGATTTTCCGAGTTCTAGTTCTTGAACTCCAGGAATGGTATTATCTTCCTCTATTGTTGGGCCAAAGGTATTTCCCTTAGCAGTTTCGTTTCCAAATTCAAATGCATTTTCTTTCAGACATTTTCACATACATGCGGAAGGCAATATTCCAGCGAAGATTTTACCCACCAATTTGTCCTTTGGGCTCGGCAAGACCCGTCTGTGTTCTTCCCTGTCATTGAAGACTCCATCAGAGCGCTTTTCTTCGTTTCCATTGAACTGTACTGGTTCGCACTCAGTTGCAAAGACAGGATCTGAGAACCCTTTCTTGAATAGCCTTAAAAATGTCTCTGTGGAATCCATAAAATCAAGACTTTCCCAACTGACCCCCCTTGACCTGTGCAAGTGGTCTCTGGTGTTTTCATTGGCAATTGCAGCTTCAAGATGGACCGTGGGCGCGCTCGTGAACCCATTCTTCTGGATGTACTTAAGCTGGTCTTGGGTGTTCTGGCCTTGGATGGTGGCAATTGGAATTGCCATGTATGGGTTTTATTGCCTCAGAAAGCATTTGCGCGGCGAAGCCAAGGAGTTTGAACAACTTGCCATTGTCACCGCGGCTTTCACTTGGCTAACATTAGTCCCACCTGCTCACTTCAATGGCTTTCTTGAGGGATGGCCGGTTGTGTTCTTTTTCGTGTACCATTATTTCTTTTTCCTCAATGTGAGTGTTAGGAAGCGGCTTTATGGCGACTTGTTCCCAAGAGAGCATGATCCCAAGTGGGACATTAGCCTTCCCAATTGGCAGAAGCTTTTGTTCTGTGGTGGTGTTCTTCTTGGGCATTGGCTTGCAGCTTTTGAAGGACCAGAGTTGCACCTCATTCCTAGTGGGTGGTGGATCAATGCAGGCACGTGGGCTTTGATCACGGCGACGATATTCATGCAGTATCATTCAACTCTGTACTTGGCCAATTACTCCGAGAAGGTAGTGGTCCCCACCGCGGTCGTGCAGTTTGGCCCTTACCGCATCGTTCGTCATCCCATCTATGCGTCAACCATGTTCTTGTTCGCTCTGTTTTGCATCACTTTGAGGGCTCCTCTGAGCACTCTCTTTGTCATCGCGGTTTGCCTGATGTACTATGGCCAAAAGGCCAAACTGGAGGAAGCCTTGATGATTGGGACATTTGGCGAGAGATACTTGGAGTATGCCGGGAAAGTTAAGTATAGACTCATCCCCTTTGTTTATTAGTTTGAGATGACTTGATTAACCTCTTGTTGGACCTTTTTATGTGCAAGATGGTTCATGATGCTCCAGAGAACATTGTACTTCTGGTTTATGTGATTTCCAATATACATTCATTCTAATGGTTTTATCCCTTTTCTTTCTCCCGCATTGCTACATCACAAGCTGCAGCTTAGTGAATTTGAACTTGGTTTCTAGCCTGTTTGCAGTGGAATTTTTATGACCTTTAGAATTCCACAAAAGCTTTTGGGACTGAATATGTGTGTGTGTGTGTGTGTGTGTGTATGGATGTATGTATGTGTTGGTATATGCACTTCCTCTTGTTGCTTCAATGCTTCTCAACATTGAACATCTGAATATTGATGCTTTTGGATGTGTATATTATTAGCATACAACGCTCATTTGTGCTTTTACAGACAATACTCATTGGTGAAAATGTTCACACCAAGTGTGAATGGTGTACAAGATGAATTGAACAATGTTAAACTTAGAAAGACAAAGTTATAAAATTTACAAACTCTTATGAGACCATCCAATTTATCTTTTCAGCTTAACAAAAAAACATAAAAATATTAAAGAATTAAAGAATAATAAAAACTGATTAGCCAACAAAAAAATGAAATATAGGCCAAATAGCTCCAGCAGCTCATATACTTCGGAAAATAGGTACTGATACCCTTTTGTTTTCGAAATATATTTCTAAAATTTATATGGTTTTAAAATGTTGCACATCACCCCTACCGACTTTTTTTCCATAAACTTTTTTGGGGAAGAGGAGACATTGTTGTTTAATTTTTAAACCACAAGAGGCACCAGAGCCCAAAGGTTAATTCTTTTTTTATCCAAAGTTAGTTTCCTTGTCATAGAGAGAATGATTAGTTACTTTTCCATTACCACACGCTCCCATATATAAAACGAGGATAGAGTTTGCATGTGAAGCCAAATGGGCTTATGATACATGAATTAAAAATTACGATCCGTAATACATACTATACCTACACGAGAGTAAATAATTTATAGGTTCCTTTAAAATTTTATACATATCTATTTCTGTGATCATTTAATTAAATGATTTTTAACATTATATTTTTTCTAACATTTTTCAACTTCTTCCAGTTTTTTCTAACTTCTTCAAGTCTCTTTCAACTCCATCTAATTTTATTCCAACATCCAATTTTAGAATTCTAACTGAAAAGGAAAAGCATCATAACTATGTTTTAACTTTTAGCCTTTCAATAAAAGTGTTATTTGTATATTTTTTCTTTTTTCATTTCATTTCCCATTTCTTCCTCCTTTATTTTATTTCCTTTGTCTATTTTTTATTTTCTTTTTGCACAAAAATTAAATTATGTAACTTGAGAAGATAAAGCTAGTAAATCATAATTTATTTTTACTTAAGTTATTCTTTTTTAAACCCAAACATTTTTTAAAATTTCAAATATTATAAAGATTAAATTTAAAAAGAAATTAAAAACGAAGGGAAAATCGGATAGTAAGTTGTGATGCCCCTTATGGTTTGGAAAATAGGCACCAATACCCTTCCATTTCGCCAAAAAAAAGAATGGTAAATAGTCGGAGGAAGTTCTATGCATCATTTTAATACCATAATGATTTTAGAAATAAGTTATGAAAATCAAAGTATATTAATATTTATTTTTCAAACTGCGAAGGCACTAGAGCTATTTGACCTTGAAATATAATACTCGGTATTATTAGATAATAAAAATTGTTTTTGTGACTATAATAATGTTCAAACGAAGTCTTTTTTTAGATGTACAAATAAAATCTTAATAGGACAAGAACAATTCTCCAAAGGAAATATTATGGTTTAAATGTTAAGCATGTGAACTACTTATATCCTCTCATTCCTTTTTTTTAAAAGAGTTATTCTCCCAACAAGATTCCAGTTTAAGAAATCATTCGAGTAAAATATAGAGAAAGTATCAAAAAAAGAAATTTATGTTTTTTTTCTTTAAATAAAAGTTCACATTATGACAATGTAACACTATATAAAAACATTTTATTATACTTTTTGATAATGTACATAATCACGATTGATAATGTAAATGTAATTTAACTGTTATTTCGAGAATAAAAATATGAAACTTCTATTTTGATTACTCCTACTTTAATCTTTTTCTCTTTCTAGTTTTGACATTACTTTCCATTCCAATCTTTTTATAGACATTCACAAATACTCCGTATAATGATATCTCTAAAAAGTGAGATTAAAAGTGATTTTAAAATAGAGATGAGTTGTATTTGGCATTTTTCATTCTTTAAACATTAAAAACCAAATAGTCCGTCTACTTTATCACATTGATTTGCCGGCTCCCTGTTAAACCCCACTTCTAATTGGCGGAAGAGCAGCAGCAGCCGCCGCCGCCGCCTACTACCATGAACTCCTCCGGTGACAACCAGCGATGCAAGAAGAGGAAGAAAGTTTTGACGCCAGAGATGCAATTCCGTTTAAGCCTCGACCAGTGCTCCAAAAACAAAGACCTCGCCACCGCAATCTCCCTCTACGACGCCGCCGTCTCCCAACCATCCTCAATCCGCCTCTCAAACCAACATTTCAACTCATTCCTCTATATTTGCTCCAATTCCGTTTCCAATCCGGAAACCAAGCAGTCCGCAATTGAATTTGGTCTCCGTGTATACCAGAATATGGCTTCCTGCGGCGCCATCCCCAATGAGGCTACCGTCACCTCCGTTGCCCGCCTGGCCGCCGCCAATAACGATGGAGATGCTGCCTTCGAGCTTGCAAAAGGTGTCGGGTATGCCGGGAGGCTTAGGACATATGGACCGGCTCTCTTTTGCTTTTGTGGAAATGGGGATGCTGATAAGGCCTATAAAGTGGAGGAGCAGATGGTATCCATTGGTCTGCAACTTGAAGAGCCCGAGCTTTCTGCTCTGTTAAAGGTGAGCATAACTGTTTCCATTGGTATTTGGTATTAGAGTATTGCCATATATGTTAAATATCTATTCAAATTGAGGTTAGTAATCGAGCTACTTCATGCTGCTCTCCAAAAAAGATATAGAGTACTTTCTTTATGCTGTTTCCTGTTAAACGTAGGCATATAGGAAATACATACTTTTGTTCTTCTTGTTGGCTGTGGCTTATGGGGCTTGACGTGCTTTTTTTTAAACCATTCTTTTGATTGTGTTATTTAAGGTGAGTGTGGAGAGAGGGATTGAAGAGAATGTCTATAAATATTTGCACAAGTTGAGAATGGCTGTAAGGGGAGTCAGCGAGATGACAGCAGAGATCATAGAGAGCTGGTTTAGAGGGGAAGTTGCGGTTAAGTCTGGTTTACTTGAATGGGATGCTAATCAGATGAAAGAAATGATTGCACGAAATGGAGGTGGGTGGCATGGACTTGGATGGCTTGGGAAGGGCAACTGGGTGGTGCAGAGATCAAATATTGCTTCTGATGGCCGGTGTCTCACTTGTTCAGAGCTGTTGGTGTGTGTTGACATTGATAGGGCAGATACCGAGATGTTTGCACATTCGGTTGCATCCTTAGCCATAGAAAGGGAATCCCAATCCAGTTTTAAAGAGTTTCAGGTGAGGGAATCGTCTAATTGTATTTATTGAAGAAGAAATGCCAAATGATTGTTTTGAAAAAAAGATCTGTACGTAATTTATGCCTAGGATAGTAGAATTAGTATGCTCTTCTGTATTTGAATTCTAGTATCCATTTACTAGCCAATATTTTGATCCTTCTATTTATCTTTTTGTAAAGGATTGGCTGGAAAACCATTCTGAATTTGAAGCTGTAGTGGACGGAGCAAATGTCGGGCTCTATCAACAAAACTTTGTCGAGGGCTGCTTTAGTGCTTCTCAGGTCATTAATTAATCTTTGAATTGCCATTGCTTTGCTACTTCAAATCTTTCTATTTGATGTTGAAATGGTTACTAAGGTTTTATTTATTCATAATTTGCAATAGAGCAGCTTATTGCAGTTGTTAATCATTTGCATAATAGGAGCAATAAATGGCCCCTTGTTGTCTTGCACAAAAAGCGTGTTCGGGCACTTCTTGAAAATGCTACCCACAGAGAGCTATTTGAGAAATGGATAAATGAAGGAGTGCTTTATCCAACACCTTATGGATCGAATGATGACTGGTATATTTCATCTCTGATCCGAATCTTTCCATTCAAATATTTATAATGATACGTAACCTTGCTTTGCTTTCAATTATCTACAATGTTTTTCTTATGCATATATGCACTAAAATCTAGGTACTGGCTTTATGCTGCTGTGAAACTCAAGTGTTTGCTTGTGACAAATGATGAAATGAGAGATCACATTTTTCAGCTTTTAGGTAGCAATTTCTTTACCAGATGGAAAGAAAGACATCAGGTTGGCATGCTTCTTTAACTTCATATCCCTCTTCTGTTCAACACTCTTGTTGTGTTGAAGCTTTCTAATATTTCATTCATTAATTTCTCTATCTGAGTTGCCATAGTTGTGATATAGTTCTGGGAAACCTTGTTTGTTTTGTAGTGCATCAAAATGAAAAAAAACACTCTTTCATCTGATCCACCTATACAGTTGTTGCTCTTGAGAAAAGAGAACATGTAACCATGGTTTGTTACCTATTTCGCAGGTACGGTACACATTTTTGAAAGGCAGCCCAAGCATTTCATCCCCACCCTCATTTTCCATTGTCATCCAGGTATTTGTGGTATTAGTTTTCTTTCCTCTTTTATCACTTCCTTTTTCCACCTACCTTTCTTTGTGTAAATAATTGCTACATTACTACATCTGGCAATGAGTAAAATCTCTCCCCTAGAATTATTTATTATTATGTCCTTATAGAGTCGTCTTACCAGAAACAATCATCTTTTGATAAGTTTCCATATTTAACTAAGTTTCCCTTTCACTCTCTTGCCCTTTGGATTACCAAAAGAACATTTGCTTGAAAGTCTCCACCATCTTTACATTTACCTCAGAGGATAAAGATTATATCATCACTGTTATCCCCCAAAAGAATCACCGAGAGATGAGATAAATCTCACAAACATATGCTAGATTGAAACCCTTGATGTGGGATACTCCCCTCAGTTCAGACGGGGTTGAACAATTGAAAGGGTAGAGAAATGGGCCAAATTGACCCGTCTCTAATCAGTAGCCATCAAGTGGGTGGCCGGGTGGGCGCCCTACAAATCACTACCAGACCATACAATGCCATATTAAATTGGGTCTAACTCATCTCAAAAGGTTATATTTACCTCTCAATTATGTACTAGTTTCAAATTCTGTAAACCGATGTGTGATACTCAACAATCAAAATGTGAATGCTGATTTTCTGTCTTGGTGTTTCAGGAATCTGAGAAAGGATCTTGGCATGTGCCCCTGGCAAGTGAATCTGATGAAGAGTCTTTGAGGGCATGGCTCTGCATCACAAGACCATACTGCAAAGACTTGAATGATAAGGTACAAGATAATCTAGCAGCTTCTGAAACCAGTGAAATCCCTAGCAGTGATCATCGATCCCCAGTTCCAAACGGGAATTCTGATTCTTCAAACGACTTTAGTAATAACCCTCTGTTAATAGCTGGTAAGAGGAAAGACAGGACTTGATCTTCATTGAACTGTCTGCAATGCATCGTCTCTTGAATGCATGAACGTTTACAAAATTGTAACCTGATATTCACATAAAAAAAGTTATAGATGTGCAACATTTGAGCAAATTCTGAATAAAAATTTGAATTTTAACATATGATCTTGAAATACAGTACTAATTAATCTGCCAATGGTCATGAAACAATGTCCCTCTGTTATTACACTAATTAATCTGAGAAAGGATCCTGGCATGTGCCCTGGCAACTATTATCACATATACTTGTTGCATTATATTTTTGCTGATTGATAAATTCTTCATCCATCTCGTAATTATTTTCTAATTTCTAAGTTGCACGGAGATGGAGACGAGTACTCATACTGGTATGGGGCTGAGAATCACCAACTTTTCGATTCTTTTGCAAAGAATCTAAGTGTCGGGACATCCTCAATTAACCAAATGCGGATGTTTCGAAGACGGAGAGTGACACTTGTTTTAAGAATCTATGCAACTTAGATTATTTTCTTATACGAGACTCGGAGATTGACCTTATTTTTAATAAAATAGATAGCGTAGTTATGTTTCCTGCAATGAATTTTTTTATATGGACCACAGTTTTTTTTAAGCGAAGTGAAATTTTGGGTCAATCTAAATAAGAAAATATGAAGATATTTATGAAGGAGTGTACAACTACGTTCCCTTTGAGATGTGGGAATATTACTGTTTAACTAGAAGTCTAGAGTTCCATCTTAAGAGTATAAAGCAGTGACAAGTAGGGTTGTAAAACCAACGAATAATTTTTATTCGATTCATGATTTGTATTCGAAACCAATGATTCGTATTTGAAAAAATGAATTTAAATAAGAATATAAATATTTATTAGAATTTAAAACAAAATGAATACAAATATTTATGTATTCTATTTGATATGTTAATGAATATATTCGAATTTAAATACCCCATAAAAAATTATATTCGATATACCTGCTTCATAATGTATACAAAGCATAATATACAAAGTACGGAGTACTTCATAATACGCAGTAAATACATAGAGCTCTTAATATACATGGGCAAGGTTTGCATGTACCACATCCTTCCCAAACCCTACTTTCGTGGGATCTATTTAACTAGATCGTTGTTGTTAATTTGGACATGTCATTTTTCGTACAAAGTATTGCCTCCGTTGACTAAAATACTCTCTCTTTCATTTATTTCTTTCACCATAAACTATCACTTTCTATTAAAAATTACTTTTTACTCCTACTAATTTCTATTATATCTCTTACATCATACTTTTTCACTAATAATCTACCTATCATATTTTACTTTTACTTCTCACATCAAGGATAAAGTTAGAAATTCAATTACAAATATACACTCCTTATTTTTTCTATTAGTCAAAATAGAAACCGTTTTAAAGAATGGATGGTGTATATGATTAATTTGTGGGGTAATAATTTTTGAAGCTATAAAATGCAAAAAAAATCAAAATTTATATTTTATATAGAATACGAATATGAACAGAATATTTGAATTTAACATCAATTCGAATATGAATAGTAATAATTATTTGAATTAAAAACGAATATGAATGATGGTACCACTTTTCAAATACGAATAAAATTACATAGTGATGGGCGATATCCAGTGGGCAGCCCAAATGAACCGCTTGTACAGCTTCGGGTCAGACACTCGGAAAGTACTCAGGTCTGGGCCGGCCCACAGAGCCGGGCCCGGTTGACTTTAGACCAAGAGTAGCTGGCAGAGCCAGTCCGGAGAAGGAGACGGAGCAGATTGGCCGTTACAGAGCCGGAAAAAGGGGATCGCGCCCTTAACGGGATAGACTCCATCAATTATGCGTAACCTTAATTGCATATAGCTCATGTATAAATAGAGGAGACCCGAAAAGGGGAAATTCAAGCAAAATCAAGCTAATAATACATACCCCATTCTCGAATTCTTGTTCTTAATTTTGTTCTTACGATCCGCTTAACGGATCGGATTATTTGGTGGATTTATTGTCCATCAAATTGGTGCTCTCATTGAGAGTTCGAGAATCATACTCAGAGGAAATCCTCCATTAAGACGATGGTGCAAACGCGCAGTAACGCCAATGTAGGTACCGGAGTTCCCCAACAGGGGGAGAACAGCACCACTGGAGGTCGGAACCCTCCCATCACCACCGGGGAGGCTGAGGCCCTCATTTAGAGGGTT